ATTTATTCATTGACAGCATCGGATATATTCGTACAGCTGAGTGTGCGCCTGTCTTGGACATTAAGTGAAGGTTCTAAACATTGTTGGRAAGAAAATTTAATTTGTTGTGAACACTATGATAGGCAGTGTAAATAATGCATGAATTAGTCTGAATTTAATGTCTCTTACATTTGCAATTATAGTGTCAAAAATGAGCCGAGTCTGAAATCCGAAGCTAAGCTTAGTTCATACTAGTAAATATCACCAAATTTATACTTATTCCTTACATGGCATTGGTAGTCATTGATAAAATTCTAAATCTGAAGCARGCACCAGTGCTGCCGAATGGTTCGCACATCGAAAAGATATGATCAATGGGCGATATTTTAATCAATATTTGAAAAGTGTGTTTAATATTGCCCGCTGCAACATTCATACACATTTTCTTAAATTTGTATGCTGGCATAGCCAAGTTCCAATCCCACACTTAGCCATGATGCACACCATCCCAAACACTGTGAACTACAATAAATTGCTTTTCTGGTTTTCGKATGCACCTTGTTATAATTAAATTTTAAAATATTAAATGCTTTATTTTATCTGCTCAAATAGGCTTACATAATCATACAACAATATGCAGTCTTTTCATATTTATATCAATTAGCAGTAAAAAATATAACATAAATGTTTATYAAACACATAAATTTTAATTTACATAAATAAGACAAGCAAACAATTTAATATTTATTCATCATTTATTGTTTTCCCGATATTTACATGCCTGCGGTTAAAAAATAACATAACATACATAAATACCACTAGCTATATGTGCGTAAGCTTTTAATTAGTAGGTAATGTTTTCATTTTTCACCAAACATATTAACTGCTAGTTTCAATTGATGGCATACTGGACTGTGTGGCAATTATTGAAATTTATAAGAATTTTAAAGAATAAAAAAAAAAATTAAATAAAAAAATTAATTTAAAATAAATAAAAATATTTAAAAAAAAAAATAAGAATAAATTTGCTAAAAAAGTATACGGTTGCATATCTAGTTTTTAATTTAATAATAACTACAGCATTTTGGAAACCTTCAAACAGTTTGTGAATTACCCTGCAATTCAATGCACAGCTTCAGTTACCATGATAATATACTTAGAATTAAAATTTTGTTCAATATATCCGTAATTTGCTTCACAATTAAATCAATAATAAATTTGCTTCACAATTAAAACAATAATAAACTAAAAACATGTGTATATGCGATAGATGTGAAAATGTTGCTCATACGCCCCGCCGTACATTTAATTCATCATGRGAGTACAATAAAATGTTTGTTTTCGTACATTTTTCGTTGTTGTAGTTGTAGTATCTAGTGACCATTCACGAATGCGCACTATTGTATTTGTGTATGTATGTGTTCATGTAAGTATGTATGTGTCTAAAATTTACGCATTGCATTGTTGGTTACCCGCCGCTAAATTTTAATTTATATACTTTTGGACATTTTATAGCTCCATACATGGTTTTACTATGCTTCCACACCATTTTTTTTTTTTTTGGCTTTAAGTTTTATTGTTTGGTGACTGTTTTTATTGTTATTGGGTTTGTCGTATTTATTACAGTTTAAATAAATTTAGCATGAAGTTATTAATTTACTACATGCTTGTCGCTTGTTGTTGGTGTTAGTTCTCATAACTATTGTATTGTGTTGTCTGGAAAATATGTTAATAATAACCAGAAATTGTAGGAGATTTGTACATATAGAGCATATACAAAAATATTAGTGTATTTTAGTTTTAATGGAGTTAAAATTAAGTAAATATCGTAATTTTATATAAAATAAATATTAAAGATAGTAGCTTGTAATGGAAATATTAAATTGTAGAGAAAAAATAGTTTTTACTTATACTTTAAATAAATTGTTCGCAAGGTTGCAGAATCATCCCACATTATCGTCCATACTCGCAATATGACCATAAATTTTTCAAATTTCAGCCCAAAAGTCTTATTAAAAGAATCAAAGTCGATAAAAATGTTGTCGCATAAGTCCGAATTTCTTCAACAAGCACTTCGCAAAGTTTCATATAAATTAAGACAGAAAACGTAATCTCTTTATATATAATTAATCAATATTATAATAATTATGGCTGAGTCCAGAACGCCACTACTGGAGAATTGTATTCTTTATATATGTTCAAATATCATATACTTGGATTCCAGTGATATTTTAATAAGCGCTTTGAAGAAGAAATCCTTTTTTTGTTAAGCAAAAGCCGTCCATTCGGAAGTTATAAACTTCGCAAATGCCTTGATCGAGTGCCGAGAATATAATTTCTTAATTTTTTGATATAATATTTCCATGGACTGAATACTATAAATTGCGYATCGAAAAATGTGTATATGTGTAAAAGTACGTAGAAAATTTCCACCTATGCCTCAATAAGAGGCTCTAAAAGACCAACAGTCGAAAATATTTTTGACCATAATAAAAATTTTGTGTACAAATTAGTAACACAAATCTAATATCGCCTGATTTCAGATTAAATACTTGAACAATTACCTACAAATGGATTAAACGGGGCGCATATCATATACCTTGCATATAAAAATCCTCCTACAGTAGTTTTAGTCGGTTCATAGGCAAGGTGAAAGTGAAACAAATATTCCGAACAATATATACTAACAGTTTTTTTTTTTTAGTTTAAATCGAATTAAAATTCATACAATTTAATAATAATTAATATAGTATATATGCATATTTAGATAATATAATACAGAAACAAATATAACAAAAATTTCTTTAATAATGTAAATCGTTTTACACATAAAAATCAATCAGAAGAAAAATATGAAATTTTTGCGCGAAGAAAAAACTGTCAAAAAAAAAGGAATAAATTGCATTTGATAAAAAGTTCATTGGATCACGTGCAATTTTGTTATAAATTTGATTTTAGTATTAAATTTTTAATCGTTCACTTTCAGCGGCTTTATTGTGTTAATGGAATTTCCTTTTAATTTCGCCTAATTTTAATGCATTRTAACTTCTATTTTAATTATCCCTAAACCCGATCAATAAATTACAACATTATCGAGCTTTTTTGCCAGCACATTACTAAATTCGTAATCGTGCGAGATKGTAATGAAATCCAAACTTGTCTCCAAACTACTGTAATAATAAATTCTCACATACTATAATTCATTGAGCGTAATATAAAATAGCAATAATTTAATCTGCTCATTTGATTGGTGATATGTKGTTCAGTCGCAAACGCTCATGCGAATACACAATATTGCATTGAAGCTATATATTTACAGCGGCATTTGGCTTCATTTTGCCCCTTGTAATTATAAATTGTTTTCCTTTTCGGACTTACATAAATGGAAAGTCCTATAAACAGTTTTTATATGTGCATATTATGTACTTCATTTGATTGCGCTAAAAGGCAAATATTCGCATAGCTTGTGATTTTTTTATAATGTTACTATATACATATATAAAAATTGAAGCACAGTGGGTAAAAAGCCATTTCCGCCATTTAGAAATTCTAAAAATAAAAATTTTATCAGAATATTTATTTAGTAGAAATATATCGAAATTGCATTGCATCGTCCTGGTTCCTTCCTGCACCGCATATGTAACATTTCTATCTCTTAATCATACATATGTATGTAGGTTACCTTTTAGATTTTGGAATTTGACAACCCTAATGTGGCAATCTGGCAGCTTACAGCGTGATCGTAAAACTTAATATTTTGCATGTTACATACTCAGAAAGTTTTGAGCGTTATGAGCGCTATTTSTGTAGTTAACAATAACTTAAAATATTCGTCTCGAAACAAAAATTAAATCGCGAATTTTTTCGTTTTTTTTCAACTTCCGGCGTGGATTTACTCGGCAAGAATTGATGGATTGTTTTAATTAAATTTTAAACCTAAGTCGTCAAAATCATGTTATTCCGGAAGCTATTAATRCCGTACGCAAATTAATATTTCAATATCGTCAATGTGGGATATCGTGGGATAGAGACGACTGTTATCATTTGTGGGATCAGCTTACATAAAAAAATGTTCCACATTAGATCCCACAAAATTTGTCAACGGCTCTAAAATGTTCGTATCGCAGTTCCAAGCAAATGATAAAATGAAAAAGAAACTTAACATGTTACAACCATACAAGAACAACGCAGAGCAGTAAACTCTGTGTGGTATATAACCATTTTTTTGTCGGTTGTCTTTCAAGAAATCAAGAAAACCAACCGCAAAAGACGGCTCACTTTTCGCCACGACAATGCGAGCTCTTACAAATCGTCCATCAACAAAAGTACGTACATTTTTGAGCATTCAAAACATCAAAAACATTCAACGTATAATTCAGACTTGGCATTGACACCTTAGAGGCGGGTAATTATTTCAGAACGCGTGTTTTGGAGATACCTCAATCAGAGCTGCTTCGACATGTGCGTCGTTCGAACGCATGCAAAAGTTGATCTCATTAGAGAATATTTTGAAAAACAAGAAAATGATTTTTGTTAATTAATACATATTTGTTTTTGTCTCCTTGTCCCGAAATATAAAAGACAACCTACTACTCAGTCAATCAGCATGATATAGAAATTATGGGGTACTCAAAATAGATAAATCTATTTTTATTATAATTAAATAAAGTAAAGTATGATTATTAACAAAATTAATTTCTATTTAGTATTTTTAATAATAAATCGCTATTATTTATATAAAATATGAAGATCACGCATCAAGCATTAAAAAATAGTAGCATAAAATATAAATTAACTGTAATTGAAATTCATAAAATTTGTAAATATAAAAAAATTAATAGCAACGCACTTAATTAATAATGTAGAAAATATAATAAATATCACAACTTTTACTTTTATAATAATATTTCCAATATCAATACACACTTAAGAAGCCTTTTAAATAAATATTTAATACAATTAATGCATAAAACGTTTAGTGCAGCAATTCTTTTCTCTTTTTCTGGTTCTTATTATTACAGGTTTCAGACACCAATAAAAGCCTTCACCTGCCTGACAACAGCAAGGTAAGCGATTTTTCCTCAAACACATTTATTAACTACTGTTTTTGATTCATTTTTATATGCTTCGAAGTATGAATATTTGAGTTATTTAAATGTGTTATGATAAACACAAAAACGCATAAAAAATGGCAAAAAACACTTAATAATATTAATAACAAATTTACACGTTCTATCAATTCAATTGGCATGTGTTTTTAGTATAAAAATATAAATTTGTACGACTGTTTCAATAATTATTCAACGGTTTTTGTATCTGCATGTAAAAAATTGGCATCGTGCTTCCAAATTCACACTTCAAAAATCATACACACATGAATCAAATTTATAATTTTTTTTTTTTTCAAACTTTGAACTTCAAAATGCTTTTCGTTTATTTAAGAATAGATAGATACAAGCTATTATATTAAATATAAAAATCATAAATCTGAATACGAAAAAATGATGTGAGCTTCATTATATTTAAATTTTTATTGTTTAAAAATAGTAACAACAAGTAAGGAAGGGCTAAGTTCGGGTGTCACCGAACATTTTATACTCTCGCATGATAAAGTGATAATCGAGATTTCATTATCCGTTATTTACATATTTTTTTATTTTGCTGTACATTAGTTAGATTAGATCAATTTGTGTACTTTGAGTATTGAATTGTATTTTCATTTACTTTAATTGCATTGAAAAGTTATAGTCCGATCACGACAATTTTTCCTCAAGGGAAAACCTCAGCTCAAATACCGTATTTGTGTAAAGTTTTATTCCGCTATCATCATTGGTTCCTAATGTATATATTATACAGAGAAGGCATCAGATGGAATTCAAAATAGCGTTATATTGGAAGAAGGCGTTGTTGTGAACCCATTTCACCCATATTTCGTACATGTCATCAGGGTGTTAAGCAAATATTACATACCGAATTTTATTGAAATCGGTTCAGTAGTTCCTGAGATATGGTTTTTGGTCCATAAGTGGGCGTCGTCACGCCCATTTTAAATTTTTAAAAAAAGCCTGGGTGCAGCTTCCTTCTGCCATTTCTTCCGTAAAATTTAGTGTCGTTAGTCGGTTAACACACTTTTAGTGATTTTCAACATAACCTTTGTATGGGTGGTGGGCGTGGTTATTATCCGATTTCTTCCATTTTTGAGCTGTATATGAAAATGCCTGAAGGAAACGACTCTATAGAGTTTGGTTGACATAGCTGTAGCAGTTTCCGACATATGTACAAAAAACTTAGAAGGGGGCGGGGCCACGCCCACTTTTCCAAAAAATTATGGCTAAATATGCCCCTCCCTAATGCGATCCTTTTTGGATCCTTATTTATGGCTTAGTTATGACACTTTATAGGTTTTCGGTTTTCGCCATTTTGTGGGCGTGGCAGGGGTCCGATTTTGCCAATCTTCGAACTCAACCTTCTTATGGAGCCAAGAAATACGAGTACCAAGTTTCATCATGATATCTCAATTTTTACTCAAGTTACAGCTTGCACGGACGGACGGACAGACGGACAGACGGATTTCAACTCTACTCGTCACCCTGATCATTTTGGTATATATAACCCTATATCTGACTCTTTTAGTTTTAGGACTTACAAACAACCGTTATGTGAACAAAACTATAATACTCTCTTTAGCAACATTGTTGCGAGAGTATAAAAATTCAATTTAATACAAAATATTCCTATATATATCAGTCAGGTGAAATATTAAATACATACATCACATTTCACTACCAGTGAAAAATTGGTGTGAAACTTCTAAACTTTTCTTGAAACTACATAAATATATATTAACTTGAAAGATTTTAGAACGGAAGTAGTTATATACTATAATATATATTATATAGTATAATTTTTCAATATTATTTTATAAACTACTTAATTAWTTATGCTTAGAAGGCATATTGAAAAGTAACGTTTTAAGGGAAATCTGATTTGTTGGGAAAAGTCCGATTTTACTATGCAACTTTYGTAACGTTTAAAAACGATTATGTCGAATCCCAAACTTTTCGTAGATATTTTGAAAATAAGTCTAAATCTCACGATTGCTTTTCAGAGGTAYCTTTCAGAGATAGATATCTCCATACCCTGGGCTAACTTTATATCTTAGAGAGGCTTTGAAAACAATTCCAAGGCGAGCTCATGCATTTCGTCAATGCGTTAGGAGATTTGATTTGTTGAATTCATCAATTTGATTTGAAACTGAAAACGAACAAAAAAGAAGAATATTGGCATTTCAATTTAAATTAAAAACCTTCCTTTTGGTTGCTTTCAATTTAAAGCGAGTTTCAGCGTTTACTTGCTTTAAAGCGTTGCTTTATGAAATTCTTGCTTAAATTTCTGCTAAATTGCACACAGAAACAATTACAACTGCCTACCAGCGAGCAACTTGACTTTCGAAAATGTCTAAAAGGGAAGTGAATTTGCATTGCCTTGTATTTTTCATTCAAAATCGCAAATGTGCGGAAAACCGAAATAAAATGGTTCTTAGGCAAAATTTACAAATAGCAAGAACAGTCCCCTTGGTGGCTCTCGGTGCTTGCTTGCTGAAGTGTGCGTATAGTGGGTGTGACTAAGCCATTTTCACTATACAAAATTAATTTGCTTCAAACACGCAAAGTGTGAACTAAAAATTATGCCAAAAACACGAAGAAGGACAAAGACACCACACACATAMAAGTACATACATATGCAAGTATGTGCGGGTATTTCCTAGCTGATTGTTGTTTCGTTTTAAAGCCTTAGGTGGTTCGACCAAGTCGAAWCGATTCACCAATGTTATTAGAAATTTGTCGAAATTTCCATTGTTTGGMCGAAAAATTCAAAAAACAAAAATGAACAAGAATGAAAATAGAAAATGGCCTGCATGCACTGTCTACGGCAAATATGTGCGAATTTGTTCAGCCAGCCAGATAAAATGTAAGCAGACTTCGAACGCCTTCTTTGCGCTTTGCTCCTTAACACAAGCACCTACAAATGCTTCTCCATATGTACACACACAAGTGCAYGCCCTTTGCTACCATTAAGTCAAATTTGTATGCACATGTATGGSTGCGTGTTTGCTTATTTAAACGTATTATGGTCTGTTATTGTTTCATGCTGTTATGTAATTTATTAAATACATAAACACATTCTAAAACCGCCTTAATCGTTACACAATATGCTGAGAGAATACAAGCTTATGCAATTGCAATCCCAGTGACGCACAGAAGTGGTCCGAATAAGAATGAGGTAGTTTGTTTAATTGCAAGCAAAACTCGCAAAACTAAAACATTTTTGTCGTCRGAAATGCAACTTCAAATAAATGTCAACTTTAGCAATAAAATATTAATTTTTGTCTAAAACGAACATTGCCTTGAATTACTTCACTTGTTACTAATGGCAAACACGTAGAGTGCTTTGAGTGTCTGGTTATCACTTAGTGGATCACAGTTTTAAATCTTGAGTGTAACCAAGTCACAGCTTAACTGTAATTATATTTCTATTAATGTTTAAGCCTGCRTATACACTGCTAAACCTCCTAGGGTGTTGCTAATATGAATGATTTCTCTTACAATTAGTCGTTAAGCATGTGGAGTTCACCGTGCCACGTGACAGCAGTGAGGTTTATATTCATCATCACAAAGTCATAATGGTCTATATAATACAGAATCTTATTTTGCCTTTCATTAATCGCTTGTAATCAGAATTCAATTGGCAAAGGAATTCGCTTATGTTCTCTACTCCAAACTRTGACATTTGGGAGGGTCTTTCTTCAAAGAACACATTGTTATTATCTTTGGGATATAATGCAGAGAAGTCGGCGTTTTGTCCTTCCCATAGTTGTTATTAATTTGAAAGCAGCACGGTTTTGGGAGTGAGAATCTTATATAATAAAAACCAGTTGACAATCCTTCAAATAAAAAATTATAATTTTGTGTAGCCATCCAGTTGAAAAATTGTGTCTTTGGTTATTATCGCGTATAATACTTACTGCTGGGTATTAGAATATAGAATGTACATTTAGTTGGTTGTATATATTTATTATTCATATATGCTATGCCATTCCTTGTATAAATGTAACAAACAGTAAATCAGTTCGATTCAATCGCTTGCAGATCAAGCAATTTCTAACTGCAGGCCATGAATACGATTTCATTGTATCTGCRCTCTAAACAAGCGCTCATCTATACAAACATACATGAAGAGTTAGTTCTACACATACATATGTAAACATGTGCATGCTTCGAAGCGGCCTTAAATGTGTGAGATTTGGGTGCGAAAATGGATGTGCAATTGTGCAGAACACATGAGAGAATTCCATGAGAGTACGCACATAGGCATASGTAAATATATAAAGTTGCATCAGATTGTTTCTACAACTACATACATTTTGTAAGAATGAAAGGGAAGGCAGTAGAACATACATGTATGAACAAGGGGGTACTCCAAGCAGTAACTGCTGCCACTACAAGCAGCTTAGGACATAGGGTTGGAGATAGAGCTTGAAATTTTTAAAATATTTAAAATATTTGAAATTCTGCACAATTCGCCCACTATCTTTGCTTTTGTAAAAAAAAAAAATATAAAAATGATTTTGCATCAAAATGCTCTAAGATATTGGAAAAATTTCTTGAACTAGTGATATGTAGGTTACATTATCACAATCATTGACTATTTTATTATTCAGCTGATATATTGACAAAAATCTTGCCTATAATTTCTTCAGCTCCTAAGTGTATGCTAGAAAATTTATAATGCTGTTAATTATATGTTACTCATAGGTTTAACGGTCGAATTAGAAGTACGGAATATACAATTTTTTACGCCGGCGAACCAAAGCGAAAATTCGATATCGAAATTTTGATCGATTGAGTTCGAAAATTTATCTAATAACAACAGTTTGAGAATATTTATTTTTAGACAAAAATTATATCCAAGCAAAAATATTCCAAACACTTCTAATTCGAAATATCGGTTATCTTTACTTTAAAAACCGAGATTCGAGATATTAGACRTTTTTATATTTGACCCT